TTGCTCTTACGAATTTGGCGGGGTCTTGCTGTTCTACATACTGCAGAAGTAATTTGCATTGTTCCAATGCCGTAAAATGAGAAATTTTTCGATTTCAATGTCGCTACAACTATCAGAATTAGACGTGTGGAGTATGTTTATACTTTAGTACATTATAAAGAAACATTACGTAGTAATACGTACGCATAGTATTTCCTCGTCATATTACTTATGATTCCATAATAAATGAACCAAAGACTTATTGCCAGTCGTCCAATCGAGAGGTCTTGGTGCTTTGCATAATAACAGAATGCATTTATTTCAAGTAGTGATGACTGTAAACACGCCAGACATAATTCATTTTTTGATTTTATTAGACAATACTTCTGTTTACTTGCATTGTATGTAAATCCGATGGTAACGCAAACACCTTTGGTAAGAATATCTGAATGCTCATCACATAACTACTGTAGTGGGAATTATATGTAATTACTGATACGTGGTTATTATTATAAATTTGAATTTATTTAAATTCATTCTATATTACCATCTAATTTATTGTCTAGTTAGACAATTATATCGACATTACAGACTGTTACAATGGACTGGTCATTATTCTGATTGAAGAGCCAAGGAACCACGCGCTTTTGTTAGATATTATCACAATCATCAGAGATCAGCTTAATTAAATTGTACATGTGGCTTATTATTATAGGACTTGTTAACCAACGAAAAATCTTCGATATCATATTGCATGGCACTATTTTTATTGCTATCATCGTGATCAGTTTGATTAAGTTTTACGCGTGATTTGTCAACCAGTGAAAAAATTTTCCCGCGTGTGTTCCGAAATGTTACACTGATACTATTGTTCTTATTTACGGAAACAATCGTGACAGTCGCAATAGATGTAATAATGTGTTACACTAGGCAATATATTGATACCCGTTATTGATTAACAGTCACAGACTCTCACACTACTTATTGCATAGATAACGACATTTATACTTATAAGGTTGCATTTGATAATGTAAAGTAGTACCAATATATGACATCTTCCGTCATCTAACGGGTCTACTCATACATATATATATATATATATACCCTGACTCTTCTCTCCATTACACATGTAACAACCTCTCCTCCTCCAAAGCGCAAATACGATGAACAATTTCTATTCTACTACCCCATATCACGCACATACAACACTTTGCTACAACTAGCGGCATAACCGATACTATATCGCTATTCCACAGCAACCTCTCCTCCTTCCAAAGCGCAAATACAATGTTATTTAAATGTGCAACGCAACAAACCTTCGCCGCCACTCCAGATTGCGCACATACGACAGTTCGCTACAACTCACGAACAAGTTTTCAAACAACGGCACGGTTTGTCGACCACATAACCGATGAAAGAGTTCGAACACGCGTTTACTCATATAAACACATATCCAAACACTACTCTCTATTGCACATGCATTGCTTCACAACGAGCTCTCCTCCAAGGCGCAAATACAACGTTATTCAAAGCAAATATACAATGCAACAAACATTTGCCGCCACTCCATATTATGCACATACGACAGTTCGCTACAACTCACGAACAAGTATTCAAACCGACACGGTTTATCAACCACGTAACCGATACTAATACTCATATAAACATCCAAATGCGTACTCTCCATTACATTTAACGTTGCCTAAAAGTTGAATATATAGCCAACAAACCTTCGCCGCCACTCTATATCACGCACATACGACAGTTCGCTACAACTCTCGAACAAGTCTTTAAACCGACAATTCGGTTTATCGACCACATAGCCGGCGGAAGAGTTTGCAGAAGAACAAATATTTCGCCCTCCACATACAAATATGCTTTTTCATTATTAACGTGTACCGCACCAAGTAGAATGATAATGCGGTAAAAGAAGTTCGGGAAATTATATTACACGTAAGCTCATTAACTTCAATGTCTTTTCAAATATCTTCTCGTCGTCGGTAAAATAAATAATGCCCGTCATAAAATAACCCAAAAATTATTATTATAGCTATTTGTACTACTTAGGAATTACATACGAGTCACCGTCTCCATTTCGAAAAGTTTTCCCGAACGCCATAATCTTGCTCTATACTCGGAATACTTTTTCTTTATTATTATTTTCATCAACACGCTAAGATATTGACAACACCAATAACCTAGTTACTGACAAAGCGGAGCGGAGAAAATAAAGAAAGGAGTTGGCTTTGAGAGGAACGATGATAGATATGATTTTGGTGATAGGTAAATTGGTGGATAAATAATCGTTTACTAACAGATTATTGCTTTTTAAACTGGTTAACTAGGTGGCTGCTCTCTTTTGTCTCAACTGGTGGACGGGAGCGGATCTGGATCGGGCAGCGGACAGTTACCGGTGACGCCCCTCTACTTACCACTCTCACCAGTGCTCGCTTGCGGTGAAGGAATCTGGCGCGGGTCCTCTGATAAGTGGGTCACGGGGGGTGCCCAGACACTATCACGACATCTCCCTTATTCTTCTTTTAGATGACGGGTAGAAGGTTTTGGGTAAGTGTAAGGTAAGTATCGCATTTGCTTTACGTTATAAACTAACTTCATTTTCTTTTTCTTTTTCTTTCTCTCTCCTTTTTCTCTATACTGACGGTTTGCCGTGAACGGATCCAATGGGACATTTGGTGGAGTAGAGCGAGTTTGAGGGTCCGATTCGGTGATTGCTTAGCTGCTTGTAGATGGAAGGTGAGTGGCCGCCGGTTTAAAGCAATATTTTTCGATTGTTTGTCCACCTAATCTATATTCAGAATAATAACATAGTAAGTAATAGTCGTAATATTATTAATGTTGTAGTATTTGTAAAACAATTAATAACGAAATAATAGTGGAAAAAGAAAGGAAAAAGCGAAAGACAGAAATATAAAAAAAAGCTGAAATTATTATCAAAATTATTATTTTGTAATATGTATTATATAAAAATAGCGTCTTGTTGAAACTTACGCACGACAATATCATTCTTTATTTCGACTCTGATTGCAGTAAAAATAGCAAATTGAGATGCGATTATGCTAATATGTTCGTGCCATGAGAAATTACGATGTCGGTGCTAACGGATATGGGTATCCTGCTCGAGTTTTTTATGCATCGACAACATTTGAAGTTGCTATCTATCGGGGACGATAATGGATGGGGTAAGTGTTGAGTATAAATGATATTTGAAATATTTGTTAGATTCATGTCCAGTTTTATACAAAGCTACGTTCACTGTTTACACCAAGGAATTGGATTATGTTGGGATGTTCATCTACTCTAAGATGGATCGTGAGCATCACGAAACGAACCAAATTTGAGAATCATAGTTTCGCAGACATAGACATAGCATACAGTTCCGGGGGAAAATGGCAGTCAAAAAAAAACTTTTTGTGAATCTTTCAAAGCAAATAGTCGCCGATTTTCTTTTTTTTAGACTACAGTCGTACCCCTCTATAGTCACCCCCTCTATAAGCACACATATAAAAAACCTCTTTATAAGCACACCATGTTGAGAACCAATCACTATTAAACTTATAGAAAAAACCCTTTATATAGTCACAACCTCTTTATAAGCACACTTCCAGCAAAAGTTGCTACGTTTTAAAAAGTTGATGCATAATACTAATTGTTTATTACTATGGACTTCATGCACGTGACAGTGGATTATCTCTGTTCTTGCCTTTGTTGCTACATACAGTACTCTCAAACGCAAACGTGTTGAAATACAAAAAGCTTGTTGGGGAATCACCTGCCAAGAGTTTTAAAGAGTTCACTTCGTCCCAATAATCGTAATGTCTGATGTACTTTTGCTTTGAGTTTTCGAGGTCTTTATTTAGGCACACGTGTACTTTTGCTTTGAGAATTGCCCAATTGTATGTAGTCTATCAATTGAGGATAACATTGATATCAATCAGCAATTGGTTGTGTCACATCCATAGTGCTTGAGTGATTGAGTTCTGGACTGAGTGATTGGGTTCCGGTCCCAAATTCAGACAACATGCATAATCGGAAGAACTACCGGATAATCCTTTAGTATCTGGTCCAATTCTGACACGGTAATAATTAGAAAGCGATAGTTATACTTTTAATACAGTCAACTCTGTTTATACCGGAAATGCATATACCGGAATCTCACGGACAGATTCTTGCGCATCGTTCGTTTCCTGTGAATTATACCGGAGTCTTTTATATACCGGATCCGAAAGGACACAGAGAGCTATGCCAACCTGCTCGGTATAAACAGAGTTGACTGTATAAGGAATGGCTAATCATTCGACTTCGCTTGAAAGCATAAATTTCGGAAAGTTTTGTAAAGCTACCGATTTTACTGATTTTACTACTGAAAGTTGAAGGTTCCTCGCACGTTCTGCTTACCTTCTTGCGTTTTGCAGTAACTTTGTTACACAACTGCTTTTAAACTATTCTACTATTCAATTAAACCGATATAATTTACGATAATCTTGCGACAATTGTCTGCATAAAATATCAAGTATTATAAAAACGTTCTCTAAGCTTCCGTGTGTTAGTTAACTCAAGCTTCAGCAACTAGTATGTTTTCAGGATCCAATACTAAAGCATCTCGAAACAGCAAATCGTCGGAATACTACATATTTGGCTGGTGTCTCTCTTCGATAAAAATACGTTGACGTTGGATAATGATAATTAACATCTATTCAGAACCAGTGATTTAAAGACAACAGGCAAACTAAAACTAATTGCATCGAAAGGTTTAATTCTGCTATCAGGTGCAGATTATCTTCTGGGCTCGGTGTATAATGTTTCTTTCATGTATTATCGAACAATTAATCTTGGCTAAATCAGTTTGTGTAATCCGAACGTAGGACAGCTGTTATCGTGTGTGACAGAAAGCTTTGCACCATTGCGTTGTACCTGCGCTTGTCACATCACTTTATTGTACGTATATACCACTTTGCACTTCACCAAGAATACTCTGCGTTCACGCATTCTTCGTGCTTACCATGTCAGACAGCAAAATTTTGCCAAATCTCCCCTATCTTTGTCTTGCTCAAATAATCTTTGAATTGTCTGATAGTAGTAGCGACCTTTACTCATGTTTGTTTGTCAACAGCATGTGGTGCAGATGTGCTATTGCACACTTATGGCAAAGACCCTTTTGTTGGCCCGGCGATAAAGCGGGTAGAATGGTCGCCAAGTTTCTACAGCTGTTTCCACAAGGGTACCTTGATGATTTAGAATATGTAATGGGTATTCATATACCACCTCATAATTCGAAACCAATGTTCAACTATCTACACTTTGTCAGAACTATGAAAATATTGCACTGTATAAATGCGATAGAATATTATCTTGGTAGCTCCTTTGGTCACGATTTAGACGTTTTGAATGATACAGATATAAGGCTATTACTTCTCAAGCTCTGCAGGGGAATAGTTGCAAATTGCCCTTTACTGGCAGAAGTTGATATGAAGCTTGGATATGACAATGGATATGATGGCTACAAATGGACAGCATCGTCTTGGAATTTGTTTAGATTTAGAGGCTTGAACACAAATCTCAATTATTTACGGCGGTTTAAATTCTCACAAGGGTTTCATCCAAACATTCTAGACAGTGCTGCAGAGACATTGACAAATCTTGACTTTTTTCAATTTGATTGGTCAGAGCATGCAATATGTACAGATGGTACTAAGTGGTGTAGTGCAATCAGCAAGCTTTTATGTAATCAGAAAGGTTTGAAAGGGGCAAGTCTCAACCTGGAGTTTCAACCTAGTGAAATCAAACTACAATCAATCTGGCAAGCATTATATACTCAAGCAGAGACTCTTAGAAAAGTCAAAGTACTGTTTGCAGATGATGATATATGTAATTTAATCAGTACTTTCAGTAAATTTACAAATCTTTATTATGTTAAGTTGATTGGTTGTACTTTCCGTCCACGGTATCATATATGCTTTCCACCAGAAATATTTTCCAATCTCCATGTACTGAAATTAGAGGAGATTACAACCAATGTTTATGGCCTTGAGGCATTACTTGGAAATGTGAAAACAAGACTGGAAACACTGTCTGTAAAGGAAATTTATGAAGTAGAGTATGATATAGAACTGTGGAAAAGATGTGCAACAAACACACCTAATCTTGTCAGTTTAGAGGTCCGACTGGATTTAGAGGATTATGTTCCTTTAATACAAACTATTATTCCATTGTGGAAACGTCTGAAAAATTTGACTATTTATGTTTGGAAAACTCAATTTCATGAGCAAGGTAATTTATCATTCTCAAATGCTTTAGTATTGCTTGGAACAAATCTACCAAGTTCAGTGAAATTTCTCAGGTTAGAGATCTACTGTCAGCACCTATCATCTGAAACATTTACTTTATTTCTACGTAACTGTTCAGCAAAACTTGAATCACTCTCTCTTAGAATTAATGGTGTTATTGATGACAACTTTGTTGTTACAATGTTAGAACATATGGGAGATAGCTTAAAATCAGTTAATTTAAATGGCTCAGGATCTCTTTCTCCTGAAATAAGAGATAAATTGGCCAGCATTCCCAAAGTTGTTCTTAATGTATGGTAAATTGAATCATACCACATATATGTAGAAATAACATGGAAAATATACATTAACATATTCAATATACGAAACTAATTCCTAATTGGAAATTGAAGGATGAGTTAGGTATATTGAGTCAATAGTAAATTATATCTAGCTTGTAATTTATGAGCTATAAAGAAAATTATAGAAAGATCTTTTAAATTTTATCTCATTTATTCTAAGATTATGTGATAATAATAACTCAAGTGTATATACAGTATACTCAATTATTTTATAAAACAATGGTGAAACTTATGTTGAGTATTTGATTGTTGTGATATGTTTTGATGAAGACCTGCCTGTTAACACAGAAAATTAATTAGGTTTTGAGATTGAGGGACAAGGCCAAACCAAAGGGGAATGAATTATCAAAAATGTTCGTGATTGTGGGATAGTAATAGTAATGGATAATAGCAAATCAAATAATTCAATCTTATATTCAACTTTCCCAAGATGAAGAATGAAAGAAAAAGAGCTAAGAAAATTTCCAACTGGCAAAAAATATTAACTAAAAGTTAAGCCCAAAAACTGAAAAATTGCCCGTCAACAACTAAGCTCTGCTTACTTCAATCTTGCAGCATATTGAACATCTAATGTATGCTATTCTTGTTGACAAAAGTGTTACTAAATAACTGACAAAAGGTTTACCTGTTACTGCTGTATATAACACAGAGCATTTCTGATTTGCTCTGCTCCTCTCTAAAAGAAAAATGAAGCATGGCAACAAAACATCCTTCTCTTCACCAAACAGATAACCAATTTATTTGTATTTTCTATGACTAGTAAATATTTGTTCGATAAAAAGGCCTTTTGCTTCGTATTAGTGAATTAAAGTGTTGTTAATCACATCTTTATTGAATGTTGTCAAACCTTGATTTAGTATCAGGGCTAATAATAACCAAAACATTATCGTGCAACATGCTGAATATCAGTTAAAGAGAGAGAAAATCATTTCACAAGTCATCTGATATTTTCCCGGGGGGGGTTTTTAAATTGCTTACGTTATTCAAAACATTGCGCAATGTTGCATCAGAAATATGTCATTCTCCGTTATAGAATTAATTCTAATTATATTCGTCCTTGGAAGTTACTAGTAAAACGGATGAAAATTTTTTCATTCAAAAATTTCAGTAGTCGTCTATACTATACTATATAGCAATAATTTAGGAATCGTTAATGAAGCTGACTGCGAAAAAAATAATGACGAATTTAAAACGCCGGAATAATTATAAAGCAGACGGAATGCTCCATATGTTCCTAGAATTGTTACCGAAAGAGTGCTTTGGCGATTTGGAATATGTGATAGGGATACGTATGTCACCTCATACACATCTATTTAAATTTTGTCAGGACAATGAAAATAATGCATTGCGCGGACGCAATCGAAGATTATTTTGTTCCGCGACACAAACATACAATTATTGCTCCTAAGGCTTTGCAGGGGAATAGTGGCCAATTGTCCTTTATTAACAGAAATGGTCTTTGCTTGCGAAGACGCATGCATTAATATTTTCTGGAACTTGTTTGATTAAAAACAAATCTCAATCACTTAAGACGGCTCAAATTATCGCGTACATTTTACCTAGACGTTCTATATAATACTGCAGAAAATCTAACCAATCTTGAACTGTTTGTATTTAGTGGATTAGCATATTCAAATTTTGATTATGGTAGTCAATGTAAAGCTATTAGTAAACTTATTTGAAGTCAGAAGAAATTAAAGACTGTATGTCTCAAACTCCTGTTTGAACCACCCAAAATTAATCTACAACCACTTGAAAAGGCCTTGTGCACTCAAGCAAAGAATCTTATGAAAATTAAGATAATATTCCCAGACGCAGATGTATGCAACTTAGTAACCATATTTGGCCAATTCACAAATCTTCAACATATTGAATTGGTTGATTGTATTCTATGCCCAAAATGTCCTTTGCAGTTGCCATTTCAAGCATTTTCCACTGTTGCTGTTCTTAATTTAAAAAGTATTACATTCAATACTTATGGCATCTGTGCACTACTTGGAAATGTAAAAGAAACACTTTTTATAAAAGATATTAAAGGATATCGAAGTATGGGGATAGTCGGGGCGGAGATTTTATCCGACTTATCAAATTTCATAATTTTTAAATCATAAGCAATAATGATAATGCATTTCGCCTTCTTCCAATTTGATGTTTTAGGTCATTCATTCTCGAGATTACTGTCCACTTTTATATCAAATATATTTTGATGCTTCCTCTCCGGTATTTCTTGTACTGCAGCAATTTAATGACGAAAACTATGAAACAAAATTATTGGATAATTAATTGTATTGTATTTACTAAAACGGTAAAGATTATCTCTTAAATCACATGGTCAGACTTATCGAGAGTCATTTGTATAATAATAAGCCGATTGAAAGGGTTATCCGACTTATAGGTTTATCGCGATTTTATATGTGTGTCGACTTATCGAATTTTTTTAAATAGTCGAAAAAGGGCGAAAAAATTGTCCGAGTTAAGCCAAGTCCAGCTTATCGTGCCGACTTATCGAGAGTGCCTACGTATAGCCAACTTCGCTCAATGCCTTAATCAACTCTTGCCTAATATCTTCTTGAGTTAATTATTATCTTCATTAACACCAAATTTTCTTCTAGTTTTTTGATTCTCTTATCTTTAATTTCTAATTCATTATTGCTTTCTTTTTGGATTTCTAGGATGCTTACCATAATTTTTTGTCTATTTTGTTTGTTTTTTAAATACTTATTATTATGTTTCTTTTATTAGAGCATAATATAATTGTTTTAAACCTAAAAGCGGAAAGCTAAGCAATATTTTTTGAAGGGTAAACTGATTAGACTTAATATTAATATTAATGACGAGTGACGAAGTAATGGAGGAAATTTATCATTGCCAGTATAAATTGGTTGTGGACAAGTAAGGTCTTTAAATTCATCTCGAACAAATGGGCAAATATTATGATAAAGATATTCTTGTCTTTTGTAATCCAAAGGAGGCGGAGTTAGAATTAGAATGGAAAAAGATTTAATTTCTTTTGTAATTTCAGAAACACTCACTGTTTTAATTTTTAACAGTATAATAGTAAATACCATTAGCGACCAGCTGAGCCGCTTTAAAGAGTATTTTTAATTTTTTAAAGAAAATCCCCAATACGGAATTTAGATCTAAGTATTGAAATTTCTCATTGCCATAATGCTGGGCCTTGTTTAATCCCGCTGTACTCGATTTTTTCACGACCTCAAACGATATGATCTACACAATCTACTGTCGATATTTTTTTAATCAATCCAAAACTACCATCACACTTGAATTTAGTATGTCAACACTTTCATAATAACCGCAAATTATTAAATATAAGTAAAATCAAATGGTGGCTTTATTTTTATTATGTCCTCCTGCGTAATCTTTAAATGCTTTTAGCATTTATTCAATCTCTTAATTCCATCGAATACCATACTCAGTGTACCATTAGAATTTTTGCCAATAATTTTGTCTTCATCGAAAACGTAATTAATTTGTTCGCGTACTGCTTCATCTTGGATACCAAATAAATGCACTTTACGCGGACTGAGATAATAAATCTTACTTACCTGCTGATCAGAATGGGGCACGTGAACATTTTGTGCTCTGTAATGAGCAGTAGTGTCAAATTACAATAATTAGTTTTACCTCCTGTAACAACGTAATTATCATCTACCGCTGTTCTGCTAATTTCGTAATAATTTCGCTCCAACTTAGCCTTAACCAGATGTTCTTTATATTTTTCAGTAAATATTTCGCTTCTTCCTTGCGGACGTTGAACTGTTAGCCATTCCGAAAATGTTGACAAGTATCACATAAATCCGCATAATTTGAATATAAGACGTTAGTTGGTGCCGTAACTTGCGAAACGCGTCATATTCAACGTGCCATTGTTCTCAAGACCCGCGATAGACCGATTTGTAACTCGTTTCGGCTGGTAAAAGTGTAAGCGATTGAGTAATTCGGTTGACGTTTCTACCAGGACTTGGTAATCCATGAATTTCAGCATAATTTTCGAGAAAATTCTTCACGGCTGTAGCAACGGTTATATCAATGGTTATCTTGGTTTTCCATCGCGGCACTCTTTTTACAGTACCATGAACGCACTTTATTATACCATTCGTTGCCAGGTGATTCTAACGTTTCGAAGTGAGTGCAACCAATCCTAACATATTAAGATGTTTTCTGACAAAGTGGCGTATTGCGATCTCAATAATAAAAGTTCTCTTATTAGCACGCGTTTTCTTTTCAAGACGTCAGCCGGCAGTTACTTTTTCACCATTTATTGCTTTCAGCTGGACCATTAAAAATATATTTGCTCAGATCTAGAGAGAGCTTGAAACGCCTCACGTAATTCGGCAAACTTTTCTTTTGGAATTCTTTTTGAGCAACCACAATTACAACCTATCTCCAAGAAACGCGTGGCTTTTTCCATATCTAATGGAGCTATTGTATTTGCTATTTGTCATATACTAATACAGATAATCCTATATATAAATTTTGACAAATTGAATTGATGCAGTTTCTGTTGATATTGAATCTAGACAAAAGATAAATTGCTCTCCCAAAACCCCCATTTATTTCCTGACCAATTATTACACCATGTAAACGCAGGCAGTAATCAAATGGACCTCTGCCATACTTTCCTTTGACATGTAGTTGTGGATATAGTTTTACTGATCTGTTAAAAAGTGAGGCAGCTGTAACAGAAACATATTAATATTTGCTCCGAATGGCTTCTGTTTCGCCATAGATCGCCTTGTAATGAAGTCTCAAATCCTTGTAAAGATGAGCCATCAGATCTCTTTCTTGGAATGAATCGAGTTTGTTGATACCACAACTGGAGATAGGAAATTCATCAATACTTGGCTCCAGATCAAGGAGTTTGCATACCTTTCCAACCCTCCAATCAGAGAATGTTTTTGTACAGTATCAATTTGTACTTTGAGAGACAAGGATGCC